TTGGGTTTTCTGCTCGGCGGGGAGTCTGCTTCTCCCTCTGACCCTCCCCCGTCTTGTGCTCTCTCACTCATTCTCTCAAATAAGAAAAAAAAATTGGCATATCTATAGAGATAGAAAGTAGAGTAGCAGTTATCTAAAGCTGGGTGGGGGATAGAGAGTGACTGCTAATGGCTACGTGATTTATTTGGGGGGGATGAGTAAAATATCCTAAAATTGATTGTGCTGATGGTTGCACAACTCTGAATATACCAAAAACCACTGAAATGAACATTTTCCATGGGTGAGTTATATGGTATGTGATCTGTATTTCAATAAAGCTGTTGAAAAACATATGTGGCTTTGTAAATTTATTTTCCTGTAATTCAAATAATTTTAGCTGACTGGTGAATTGAAGCCAATTATGAGATAATTTATGCACTTTCAGAGCAAGGATGGAAAATACAAGTTCTCCTACTTTTAGCCCAGCCATGAGCAGTTTCTATCACCAAGGTGAAACATGGTATTGAGACCCTTTGTCCTCTTGGGGAAAATGTGCTCAAGAAAGATACAGGCATTGTTCTTCCTCCACCAATGTTTCCTCTACTGTGGTGACCTCCTTCACCACGTTAAGAGTCTTCTTCCTCATTGTGTTGGGCTTCAGGCCTGAAGAGTAAGTCCTGAAACAGCTGTTAAGAGAGTCACAAGTCAGTGTACTGAAACCCGTGACCTTTATTCCACAAAAAGGCTCAGACCTGCGTCTGCTTTTACCGAGTTTGCTTTTACTTTAAAAATAATTCTAACAAACATGTGTCTGTTTTCCCAACCAGAACAAATGAGGACTTGCCAATTTTGGAAGAGGAAGTTCACTGGTTTACTGGAGGCATACCAGTGATGGCTGATAGCTTAATGGAGCAAGGAGAAGTAGCTACAAAGGGGTCCGTGTGGCTCAGAAGCAAACAGCTCTACATGCGGTGACTCTCAGTCATCAATAAGAGGCTAACTTGTGACTTTCGATGCTCTGTTTATTCTCCCACAGACTCAGCCAACTATGCCAGGGCTTTTTAAAAACGGCTTTGGGGGGCGCCTGGGTGGCTCAGTCGGTTAAGCGGCTGCCTTCGGCTCGGGTCGTGATCCCAGGGTCCTGGGATAGAGCCCCATGTCCGGCTCCCTGCTCAGCGGAGAGCCTGCTTCTCCCTCTCCCTGCCACTCTGCCTACTTGTGCTCTCTATCTCTCTGTCAAATAAATAAAGTCTTTAAAAAAAAATAAAAAAAATATTTAAAAACAGCTTTGGTACCAGGTGAGAGGGCCTATGAGACTTTCAGAGGCCCGTGAAAATAAACAGTTAATCTATGGCTCTAAAATCAAAGTGAATGAATAAAATAGTTACAAAATGTATCATCTTTGTCAACTCTATTCACTGCTAAATTTGATATTCATAAAATATTGATGGCACTTGAAAACAATTTGTAGGTCTGATTTTTCTCCCTGCACAAGAATTACTATATATGAAAGTTGCAGAAAAATCATGGGCCAATATAAATTAAATGTTATTCATGGCTAAAATCGTTTTAATAGCAATATAGTAAAAACCTTTCCAAAAATGTACTATTAAAAGTCTATTATCTTGGGCTGTGGGTACCCTTCAATACGTTTGATAGTATGCTAGCTAGGGTTAGTGGAGGCTCAGTCAACGGGCCTGCGTCTCTGCTCCTTTTGTCCTCAGGCCTTCCCTGTGTGCTGTTTGGAAGTCCGCTTCATGGAAAATCAACTCCCCATCCTTAACCTGGCTCAGAGCACTTCTTCTGTCTCCCTGCTGTGAGCTCCCCGGCACGTCCCAGCTGGTGGGGGCTGGACCTTCTCCCACACCAGCCCTGGAGTGGAAAATATGGTTAGGCTCTCCTCTGCACCTCCTTTCCTCTAACCCCAATGAAAGAGGGTTTCCTCCCCACCTGTCTAGTGGGAACCCCTACAACTAATGAAACCCTGCTCACACCCTCTGCCTCGCCCACCTCCTCCATGCTTCCTCACTCAGCTCAGTCATCCCCTCTATCAAGCCTATCATTTCAAATACTTATTTATTGAGATTCTGATTTACATATTATAAAGTTCATCCTTTTAAAGCATATAATTCAGTGGTTTTTAGTGTATTCCTAAGGCTGCATAACTGTCACAATTCCAAAACATTTTCATCATCTCATACCTATTAACAATTGCTCCCCATCCCCGGATTCTTCCCAAGCTCTAGGCAACCAAGAATCTGCTTTCTATCTCTATGGATTTGCCTATTCTGAACATTGCATATAAATGGCATCATTTGGGTCTGGCTTCTTTTACTCAACATAATATTATCAAGGTTCATCCACATTGTAGCATGTTTCAGAGCTTCCTTCTTTTGAATGATATTCCATTGTGTGGATACACCATGGTATGGACTGAAGATTTGTGTTTCCCCCCACCCCAAACTCATGTTGAAGCCCTAATTCCCAATGTGATAGTATTTGGATGTGAGGTCTTTGGGAGGTAATTGGGTTAGATGAGATCAAGAGGGTACAGTCCCCATGATGGGATCGGTGTTCTTACAAGAAAAGGAAGAGACACCAGAGATTCCTCTCTCCTTATGAGGATCCAGTAAGAATGTGGCTGTTTACAAGCCAGGAAGAGAGCTCTCACCAGACTGAATCCGCTGGCACCTTGATCTTGGACTTCCCAGGCTCTAGAACTGTGAGAAATTAAACACCTGCTGTTTAAGCTGCCCAGTCTATAGTATTTTGTTATGGCAGCTCAAGCTAATACATATTGTTTATTATCAATGATATACAAATGATGGACACTAGGGTTGTTTCTACTTTTTGGCTATTATGAATAACAAAATGAACATTTGTGCACAAGTTTTTGTGTAAACAGGTGCTTTCATTTCTTCTGGGTATATATGTAAGAGTGGAATTGCTGGGTCATATGGTAACCACCAGACTGTTTCCTAATATGACTGCGTTATTTTACATTCCTAAACAACAAGGTAGGAAGACTTGAATTTCTTCACATCCTTGCCAACACCTAACACCGTCTGTCTTGTTGATTATAGTCATCCTAGTGGGTGTGAAGTGGTGTCTCATTAGGGTTTTGATTTGCCTTTCCCTGATGACTAAAGGTGTTGAGCATATTTTCAGATGCTTATTGGCCATTTATATATTTTCTTGGGAGAAATGTCTATTCATCTCCTTTGCCCATTTTTTAAAATTGGGTTATTTGTCTTTTTATTGCTGAGATATTTGTCATCATTTAAAGATGGTCAAGTCTCTACCATTTTAAAGCAAACAAACCGTTGGCCTGCTCCAAATCCCTGCTGCGGCCACTGTTTCTTGCAGAAGTTTTTGAAACAGCTCTGGACACGGGTGGTTCCCACCCACTCTCTTTTGAATCTGGTGCAGTCAGGCTCCTGAAGCCAGCACTTCACTGAAACTGCTCTGAGCAAGGTCAGCAGTGGCCATTTGTTGCTAAATACAATGGACACTTTTCAATTCCCAGCTTGATTTCTCTGTAGTATTTATCTTTGAGTTCCTCCCCATCTTTATCAAAGGATTAGAGATCCTCAGCTTAAATATCAGCACACGCTTCAGATTGTTCTCATACATCGCTGGCTGCTCTTCAGTTTTCTCAATGGGCTTCTCTTATTCTGCTCATTCTCAAGATTTTGCCTTCAGTCCTCTGTTTTCCACTTTTACACAGTCTCACAGGGCAACTGCATTCATTCTCATGGGTTTAATTACCACTTAACACTGCTCACTCCTACATCTCATGTCTATCTCCTGCCTAGACTATACTCCCGGGGTTCCCAGTTTGTAGATCTGTCTAATCAACATCTCTACCTGGACTTCCATCCATCCTTAAACTTTACATGTCCCAAACCAAACATTTTATCTTTACCTCTCTAGCTTTCCTTAACTCAGGGAATAACATCCAGTTACAGAATTCCATAGACTAAAAATTTTTTAAGTCACTCAGATTTGTTTACTTCCTTCCATTCCAGACACCTGTTCCCTAGTCCCTACCACTTAACAAGATGACCCCAGTTCCACTGCCTTCTCCAAACTGTGGCCAGAGATCTTTCTAACATGCAAATCTCAACATATCATCCCTCTGTTTACATGAGCTACTCTAAGAGATGGAAGCCAGACACATAAGGGTTTCAATGTTAACACCATTCACGCACTCGCTGCAAGACCGTGATGAGCTACTTAACTTCACCATGTTTTAGTCTTCTTGCTTTAAAAAATAGAAATAAAAAAAAGGAGAGACACACACGAAAGTACCATTTCATAGATCTTCCTGAGGATTCAGAAGATGCGCCCAGATGCCCTTGGCTCAGAGTCAGGCACATTTTAAGTGCTCAATGCATTTTAATTATTTGTATTAAGACCTTCCAATAGAGGCAAATCAAGGATCATCACTTTCATCCTGAAATGTGAGGATTCAATGGGATGACTTTAAACTCTTTTAAGACAAGACTCCTTTGGACCCTGAAGCCTGGTAATCAGCTGCAGCTGCACTCCGCTGGGCACTCAGCTTCGGCGTCCGAAAAGTGCTCTGGAGAGGAGGCGACAGTGGTGCCGCTAGCATTCCGAAACGAGGACGCAGAATCGGGAATCGGCGCCGCAGCCCGGGTCTCTCCCGGGGCGCGGCCGCAGGACAGCGCTGACCGCGGGCTTCTTCCCCGCCCCGCCCCCGCCCGTTACCCCGGCGACAGTCTCCGCCACCCCTTTGCCCCGCGGCCGGGCTCCCCGGACCTGCGGCCGAAAGTACCGAAAGCCTTTCAAGCAAAGCCCACACAACCAAACCACAAACCACAGGAGCCATCCCAGCCCGGTCGCTTCCTCCCGTCCCCCGCCAGCACCCAGGGCGGCTCTCACTCCACCCTGCGGGCCCCGCGGCGCCGGCGACCCCGGGAGCTCCGCAGGTGCGGGCCGCCGCCGCATGTCTGCCGCCCCGCCCGGCATTCCCTCCCGGAGCCCGCGGCGCTCACCTTGAAGGACATCCTGCACATGTCCCCGGCCACCCGAGCGCGACCGGCACGCTTCCGGCGCGGGGCGCCCGCCCCAGCCCGCCGGGTTCCGCAGTGGGGCGGCCTCCCGCGCCGCGCGCTCCCGCCTCAGACGGGGCCACGCGGGGAGGGCGGGGACGGGACCACCGGGGGCGGGGCGGGCGCGGGGCGGAGGCGGGGCCTCCGGGGGCGCTGGGGCTAGGGCCGGTTGCGCGGGGCGCACACACCCGCCCGCGCCCCCCCCCCCCCCCCCCCCCCCCCCCCCGCCCCCGCCCCTCCCCAGCCCGCACACGCTCCATCTCCGCTGGCACTGCGCGCACTCTGCTCGCACATAGGGTACACGCCACACTGCGCATATTCTCCACGTTCAGTACACAAGCGGTCCACACTCCCGAGCACGCACCCACGCTCTCTCGTACACACATTCCATGCACATCCGCATTCCTGTTAGACATACACTCCAGAGCACAAGATTCACACATAATACTCCCACACTCACATCCCCGTATACACACTACACACCTACCCCCATCCCGCACTTCACACATCTTCCAGAAGAGCGTGGTCTGCATCAGAGGACTCCCAACCTTCATTACAGCACAGACATTGATGATGTAGATGAAACAGAAGAAAAAAATTCACCCATCCTCCCACCACCCTTCCAAATAGTTTTCATTTTTTATTTCTGTTGTTTTAGGTTTTCTTTTCTTTCTCTTCCTTTTCTTTTCTAATAATGTATTTTTGGTTTTGTTTTCCTCCTGGGAAAGAGCTGGGAAACAAGCCTTTTGATTGAATGAGTCATATGTGGTATTTTCCTTTTTGAAGGTGAAGGGCAAAATTGGGAATGTTACTCATGGCCCCCTCCTTTTGGTTACACCAGTCACCATTCCTTTTGGGCCTTTTGCTGAACAGCTGGAGTATCTCAGGAGCTGTTCACTCCCTCATGCATACTGCCTTGCTTCTTGCCCAGGGTTGGTTTGGGGGAAGTAAAAGTGGGAGAATCACATTTTTTTAAGTTAAAAAATACATTATTTTTAGGGGCGCCTGGGTGGTTCAGTCGTAAAACGTCTGCCTTTGGCTCAGGTCATGATCCCAGAGTCCTGGGATAGAGCCCCGCATCGGGCTCCTTGCTCAGTGGGAGGCCTGCTTCTTCCTCTCCCACTCCCCCTGCTTGTGTTCCCTCTCTAGCTGTGTTTCTGTCAAATAAATAAATAAAGCCTTTAAAAAAAATACTGTTTTTAAAGTATAAAAAGCAATAATAGCCTTTTTAGAAAATTCAAATGCTAAAGTAAAAGTAGATGTCTCACACGCTCACACTGTAAGAATCTACTCATTCTCCCCTCACCTCTGTGCCTCCTTCTCTCGTCTCAGTTCAATTGGTAATGAATATTTAATTCAAAAGTAGAAAAATAAAACAAATAAAAGTTCAGGATGAAATAAAAATGTTTATCTGTTATAGATAAATCATATTACTTTGTGCTTAATTTGTTTTAAAGATTTTATTTATTTATTTATTTGAGAGAGAGAGAGAGCGCGCACAAGCAGGGGAGGGGCAGAAGGAGAAGTAGAGGCAGAGAACCTCAAGCAGACTCTGCACTGAGCACGGAGCCCAATGTGGGGCTCCATCTCACGGCCCTGAGACCCTGACCTAAGCTGAAACCAAGAGTTGGCCACTTAACGGACTGAGCCACCCAGGTGCCCTGCTTTCTGCTTAATTTTAAAATAAAAACATTCCAAGAATTTGATAGAAAATTTGAAGTTTTAAATCAGGAAAGACTAGAAACTTTTCCCTGCCTTAGGTGTTTATGGATGAGACAGTTTTGAAGTTGCCATGCAACACTATTATGTAAGATTGAGCACAGGAGGTTTTGCTTTAATAGTTTTGTTAAGCAAAAGGAGGGAACAGAATGTATTTTGAGTCCTGTCTGGGGGGTAGGTATTATGCCCATTGCACAGCTGGAAAAACTAAGGTTCTGAGAGATGAAGTAATTTGCTAATGAGTGATAGCACTAGACCTTTCATGAAGTCTGTCTGGCTCCAAAGCCTGTTTCCTTTCCACTACCACACTTACTGCTCAAAGATGGTTTTGGCAGTGAGTCCCTGGCCAGGCTGCTGATGGGATTCTTGTCGAAGTCACAGGAAAGAATGTGCCTGTAGATCAGCTCACGTGCCTGGCTAAGTTCATTTTCACAATAAAGCCCCCAAGCAGAACCATACCCTCATAATCACCACCAGGTGACTCCACTGAAAGAGGCCCCCTCCAAAACTTAACAGGCCTAACATGTGAAATTAAATCTCCATGGCCCTACTCTCTCTATCCAAATAATTTCTCATAACCCACTAGAGTGGGTAGAGAAATCATACTTGTCAGAGATTCTCCTTGTTATCACCCTCCCTCCCATCCCTATGGCTCTTTTCTCTCCCTCCACTTCTGTCCGCCCTAACTCAGACCCTCACCCTCCCGGGGTTGCTCCCAGCTCAAGCCCCCCTCCAGTGCCCAGCCCCTCAGCCATCTCTCTTCCAGCTTTGCTGAGCTCCTGTAGCATCCCATGTTGCTCTAGGCTCCACTTTGGTTCCTTTTGACTCCTCCAGCAGAGTTTAAATTCTTCAAAGCCAGACCCGCCCCCCCACCCCGACCAGGGTCTTCTACTATATCTTTTATTTTCTTCAGGGGCTAGTTCATAGTAGGTGGCCAACGTTTAGGAATTGTTCAATAGAAGATTCAAGGGATTGTGTTCTCCATATCTCCACGCTCAGAAGTCGTACCACTCCTCTCCACAGGCCTCCATGATTCACACGCTCAGACATCAGTGTTCATCTCCAGTGAGGCCATATTTGTTGTCACCTTCTGTTCACGCCAGTGCAGACTGTCCTGCATTTGCTCTTGATGTGGCACCTGTCCCAGTTTATGCGCCAGCAGAACTTGCTCTAGACAGAACCGTGAAGTAGGTTAGACAGGTCTCCTGAGCCCTCTCCCTCCTTTCTTTTGTGATCAGGCCCCTTCACCCCGATGGAGTCTGCTCTGGACAACTTGCTTTCTACATTCCCTGTGTCCCCCGCCCCCAACTCCCAGCTGGTTAGCTCAGGCTCATCTCTTGGAATTTACACTAGACGAGGCTTCATGCAGTGCAGAGTGTAGCAGAGCGTTGAATAATGTGCCCCAGCATCCATGGCCCCTTTCCTTTTCCCTATCAGAACACTAATTTTGCTCAGGCATCTACCAGACTCCACCTTACGATATGCTTCAGGGGAGTCCAGCCCCCTTTTCTGTCCAAAGCTCTCTGATCTAAGCTGGTGGTAGTGCCTGGATTAGGTGTGGGCATGTGACAAATCCTGACCTCTGAGACATGAGAGGAGGTGTGCTGGGGGCTGCTAAGAAAGATTTCCTTACTTCCAAGAGAGATACCCTGGAGAAGGTCCTCTCTTCCTTGGGACACTGTTCTGTATGGATATGATGCCTGGAATGCTGCAGCCACCTTGTGACCATGAGGGAAGCTATTCCCTGAGGGTAGCAGGGCAAACAGACGGTGTCACTAAGATCTATGTTGACAAAAGGGGGCTGCCCTGCCCCTGGACTTCTTGCTGTGTAAGACATTTTCTTTTGTTGTTTTTGTTTTGTTTTGGGTTTGGTTTTTTTTTTTTGAGTCATCAATACATTTTTATTAGTCTCCACCCATGGCATATATATCATATTAGGTATGTGCATTTATCATATATATGCCTTCATGATGTATATTTATGCCCAATATACTTAGTCCTTATATTGAAATGCCAAATGTAAATGAGAAAAACATTTAATATTATATTCTGTAAAACCATTATAAGTAGATGCAAGCATCTGATTACATCATTACGTCATGTAGTATAGACATGCCTGTGTGCCTATATATTGTTTTGTTGTTTGTTTGTTTGTTTTTAGGATTGTAAGCCACTTTCTGTTGCAAGTATTCTGATACAGGTTGAGAATGGAAACAAGGGGTGGGGGACAAGGGGTCAAGAACTTCACCCACGTTGATTAATGCTCATTATGTGCTAGCATTTTGAATGTGTCACCGATTTATTCTTATTCCAACCTCCTATGAAAGCTATTATTGATGATGAAATTGAGACTCGGGGTGGATGCAAAACTTGTTTGTGATCACAAGGACTGGAAGTGGGAAAGTGGTATTTGAACCCAGGCAAAGGGAATAGAACTCTTTCCACCATGCTGTCTTACTGGGTTTGTACGCAAATATTTGAGTAAACGTCGGAATGAAGTTTCCGGTTCTGCATTTTACAACCTTAAGTTTACAGATAATATCCTTCAAAATAAATGAATTGCTGACAGAGTGTTGTGAGAAGGGGCTGGAGCACTGTATCCAAGTGATACACATAGATTTTGATGATTACTTTTGATAGGCATTTTCCCTGCTGTTGATAGGCAATATCCCAACCTATAACTAAATCCAAATGATAGACATAGATTTTGATTATTGCCATTGATAGACAATATCTTTGCCTGTCTACTCAATAAATATTCTTGAGGTGGAAATTTTAGCCTAGTCAGATGAATTTTTTTTCTTAACCAACCAACTGAGCCACCCAGGCACCCCAATGAATTTTTTTTCTGATTATCAATCCAGAATACAAAAAGAAGAGAAAAAAAGCAAAAGACAACAATAACCTGTAATACAATTTCCCAGAGTCATCGGGGTTAAATACACCCCTGATCTTTTCTTAAGCATGTAGTAACATAACTGGAATTATGTGTACTCTGCTTTTTAAAAAAATTATTAAACATGATCATGTGAGCATTTTCCTCTAGCATTAAAAAGTCTTTGAAAATCCTGCATTTAAAATTGGCTATACTGTGGTTTATTTAGCTTTTCTCCTATTATAACACCTTTAAGTCTTTTCTCCTGTTATGACCTTTCTCTTGGTATAAATTCCTTTTAGTTTTTGTTATTAAAAATAATGCTAATAATTATTTTGTACCTAAGTTTTATCCACTTTTTTTATTATTTCCTTAGGACACATTTCTGGAATTCCAGAGCCATAACACATGAAATAATTGTGA